GGGGGTGTCAACAGTGGGAGGGCTTCTAATGTCCTGGCCCCACTGCTGGACCTCCTGATGGCACTGGTATTTCCGGCCACTGTGTGACACAGAGTGTTGGACAGGATGGGCCTTTGGCCTGTTCCAACATTGGCGTCTCTTATGTTCTTATGTTCTTATGCTTTCTTTTCCTCCAGCAAAGCATGAGGGAGAACAAGGAGAAACAGGCGCTCTCGGACCTCATGATCAAACCGGTGCAACGGATCCCGCGATATGAGCTTCTGGTCAAGGTGAGGTAACACTGGGGTAGGGGGAGAGACCTGTGCTGCGTTCTGCGCTGTTGCCATGTCTTCGAGTGTTGTCAATTCACCAGGGGTTGCCTGTCTGCCTTCAAATCCATGGGGAAGAAAGGCAGGGAGTACACGGAAGGAAGGAAGGAAGGAAGGAAGGAAGCAAGGAAGGAAGGAAGGAAGGAAGGAAGGAAGGAAGGAAGGAAGGAAGGAAGGAGGGACAAATAGAGCAAGAGTCCAGCAGCACCTTAAAAAGGTAAAGGTAAAGGTCTCCCTTGCTCGAAAGCCAGTCGAGTCCGACTCTAGGGTTGCGGTGCTCATCTCCGTTTCCAAGTCGAAGAGCCAGCGCTGTCCGAAGACATTTCCGTGGTCATGTGGCCGGCATGACTAAACACCGAGGCGCACGGAACGCTGTGACCTTCCCACCGAAGCGGTCCCTATTTATCTACTTGCAATTTCTTGCTTTCAAACTGCTAGGTTGGCAGGAGCTGGAACTAGAGACGGGAGCTCACTCCATCATGCGGCACCCAGGTCTCGAACTGCTGAACTACCGACCTTCCACAGCCTGCAGTTCAGCGTCTTAACCCCTTGAGCCACCGCAGTTCCTAGCAGCACCTTAAACACGAACAAAATTTGTGACAGGGTAAGGGCTCTCATTACTCACTGCTCACTTCTTCAGATACAGCTAGTGAGAAGCCAGTCACGAAAGCTCCTACCCTGCCACGGATTTTGTAAGTTTTTAAGGTGCTCCTGGACTCTTGCTCTTTTCTACTGCCACAGAGAGACTCACACGGCTGCCCATCTTGATCTGTCCCCCTGGAAGGCACCACGTTTAGCCGCACAGAATGGGAATCCATCAACCTTGTGATATAAGGACAGAGGGACTCTCATTCTAGCTGTATCTGAAGAAGCGAGCAGGAAGGTGCTCCTGGACTCCTGCTCTTTTCTACTGCTACAGACAGACTAACACTTGATCCATGGAAGGCACCACACTTAGCTGTACAGAATGGGAATCCACCAGCCTTGTGATATAAGGACGGATGGGCTCTCATTCTAGCTGTATCTGAAGAAGTGAGCAGGGACTCATAAGAACATAAGAGACGCCAATGTTGGATCAGCCCAAAGGCCCATCTAGTCCAACACTCTGTCACACGGTGGCCAAAAATACCAGGTGCCATCAGGAGGTCCACCAGTGGGGCCAGGACACTAGGAGCCCTCCCACTCAGGAAATCTCCTCCCCTGCCACAGATTTGGTTAGCCTAGAAGGTGCTCCTGGACTCTTGCTCTTTTGCAGTGCTCCAGACAGACTAACACAACTGCCCACCTTGAATGAATGAATGAGAAAATACAGGGCCAATACAGTAAAGTGGACTGAGAGTGGGACTTGTACTGGGAAGATCCGCATTCATATCTCCACACACCCTGTGAGATTCAGGGCAGGACCTTACTTGTGTCCCCGTCAGTCTCTAACCTACCTCACAGGGCTCTTTCCACAGGGCAGCAGAGTTCTCATCACTGCTGCAAAAGCAGAGGTGTTCACAGTGGCAGTAGAGGTTCCATGTGGTGGGTTTGCCCACATATTCCTTCCCGCGATCCTTGGAATGGCTACAAATGCCATACACGTTTAGGGACTAGAAACTTGATTTTTTAAAATGAAAACTCATAAGAACATAAGCCAATGTTGGATCAGGCCAATGGCCCATCCAATCCAACACTCTGTGTCACACAGTGGCCAGAAATACCCGGTGCCATCAGGAGGTACAGCAGTGGGGCCAGAACTCCAGAAGCCCTCCCACTGTTGCCCCCCCCAAAGCACCAAGAATACAAGCATCCCTTTCCCCAGACCGAGAGTTCCTCTCTATACCTTGTGGCTAAGAGCCACTGATGGACCTCTGCTCCATATAAGAACGTAAGAACATAAGAGAAGCCAATGTTGGATCAGACCAATGGCCCATCCAGTCCAACACTCTGTGTCACACAGTGGTCAAAAATACCAGGTGCCATCAGGAGGTCCACCAGTGGGGCCAGGACACTAGAAGCCCTCCCACTGTTGACCCCCCAAGCACCAAGATGACAGAGCATCCCTTGCCCCAGAGTTCCTATCTATACCTGGATCTCTGCTCCATATAAGAACGTAAGAACATAAGAGAAGCCAATGTTGGATCAGACTAATGGACCATCCAGTCCAACACTCTGTGTCACACAGTTGGCCAAAAATACCAGGTGCCATCAGGAGGTCCACCAGTGGGGCCAGGACACTAGAAGCCCTCCCACTGTTGACCCCCCCAAGTACCAAAAATACAGAGCATCACTTGCCCCATACTGAGAGTTCCTAGCTATACCTTGTGGCTAAGAGCCACTGATGGACCTCTGCTCCATATGTTTCTGCAATTCCCTCTTGAAGCCGTCCATGCTTGTAGCCGCCTCCACCTCCTGTGGCAGTGAATTCCATCTGTTCATCACTCTTTGGGTGAAGAAGGATTTCCTTTTATTCGTTCTAACCCGACCGCTCAGCCATTTCATGGAGTGCCCACAAGTTCTTGTCTTGTGAGAAAGGGAGAAAAGGACCTCTTTCTCCACCTGCTCTATCCCATGTGTACAAGCTCTCCCTCCTCCGCAAGGACAGATCTGCACATGTTCCCCCCCCCAATAGCTAGCCATCCAAAACAGTCCAGTGGCACCTGTACGACCAAGCTTTATTCAGGTACAAGCTCTCCCTCCTCCGCAAGGACAGATCTGCACATGTTCCCCCCCCCAATAGCTAGCCATCCAAAACAGTCCAGTGGAGCCTGAGCGGTGGGTGTTGCCTTCTGACACAATTCCGGTGATGTCAGGGGGTGTGGCATATGCAAATGAGTTATGCAAATGAGTTATGCTAATGAGCTCCTGCACCTCTTTCTCTATGAAATGACCCCTGGAGCTAGCTCACACTAACTCAGCTCAGAGGGAACACTGGTCACTACGCAGAGACCGGCAATGGCAAACGAGCTTTGTTCGTCTCCTGCCTGGAAAAGTTGAAGGGCTTGCCATCAGCCGGCGGCAAGTTGATGGCACTCTGCACCACTCGTTACCATAGAGAGGGGATAACTGCATTTCGCCTCCTTGCGATGGAACATCCCCCACCCCCCTCCACATCTCCTGCCCGGAACCAATGAAATTAGCCCACATTACCCGAGGTCACCATGTTCTTGGCTCATTCTCCCCAGTTCATAGAGCTTTGTCACAGGGAGATTTTTCCCCCCGGGTAATTGAATCCCACGAATGTTGCTTGGGGCGCCCAGGGACCAAGCCAGCCGCTCTTCTGCCGCTCTGGGTTAGTGGGCTGCGCTGACGGCTTGGTATTTTGGCATGCCGCATTCTTGGGATGACTCACGTGCCTGAGTCAGAGCAGCGGGCTTGGATGGGATGCCAGGAAAGAACCGTCCCCTCGTTCTGGAGCAGCCGAGCTGCCCGGAAGCCGGAGGAGAAGGGGAACTTCATTGCGGAGCGGCCCCGTCTGCAAACGACAAACGATCCGAGGGAGTCCCAGCGTGCTGTGCAGCCTCATCTGTAGGAGTTCAAGCCAGGAACCAGGCCTCGGGTTGGAAAGGACAGATTCCGCAGCTAGAGGAGCAAGTGGGAGAGCTTGCAAAATCTGCAGGGGTTTTGATGTACAAGCAAGGCGCTGTGCCCAGATGCTCAGCTACGTGGAGGCAATTGTACTGGGACAGAGTTTGCCGCCGAACCATCGACACAGTGAAGGAAAGCCCTGCAGGATCAGAGCAGTGGTCTGTCTGGTCCAGCCTCCTGTCTCGCACAGGGGCCAGCCAGTTCCTCTGGAGATCCAGCAACAGGGCAGAGAGGCCGAGGCCTTCCTCAGATAAAGAGCCCTGCTGGATCAGACCAGTGAGGGTCCATCTAGTCCAGCCTCCTGTCTCACACAGCAGCCAACCAGTTCCTCTGGAGGGCCACAAACAGGGCATAGAGGATGAGGCCTTCGTGAGAACATCAGAAGAGCCCTGCTGGATCAGACGAGTGAGGGTCACTCTAGTCCAGCATCTTGTCTCACACAGTGGCCAACCATTTCCCCTGGAGGGCCAACATACATGGCAGAGAGGCCGAGGCCTTCCCTTGAGAGAAACCTCAGAAGAGCCCTGCTGGGTCAGACCAGTGAGGGTCCATCTAGTCCAGCCTCCTGTCTCACACAGGGGCCAGCCAGTTCCTCTGGAGGGCCGACAACAGGGCAGAGAGGCCGAGGCCTTCATATGAACATCAGAAGTGCCCTCCTGGATCAGACTAATAGGCCATGTAGTCCAGCCTTCCCTCTCACACAGCGGCCAACCAGTTCCTCTGGAGGGCCAAAAATAGGGCATAGAGGCCGAGGTCTTCCTCTGATATTGCCTCCTGGCGCTGGGATTCAGAGGTTCACTGCCTCCAGACGTGGAGGTTCCTTTTAGTCACCAGGGCTAGAAGCCGCTGATAGACCTGCTCCTCCATGAATATGATTAATCCCCTTTTAAGGTTATCTATGCCCACTCCATCCTCTGGCTGTGAATTCCACATTTCAGTCCCTCTCTGTGTAAAGAAGTGTTTCCTTTTGTCTGTCCGGAACCTTCTGCCCATCGGCTTCATTGGATGCCCTTGAGTTCTAGCATTTTGGGAGCTGGAGGAAAAGTCCTCTTTCTCCACGCTCTCCACCACGTGCATAATTTTATAAACCTCTCTCATCTCCCCCCCCCCTTAGTGGTCTCTTTCCTAAACTGAAGAGTCCCCAACTCTTCAGCTTTCCCTCATTGGAAAGGTGCGCCAGCCCTGTAATCATCAGTGTTGCCATTTATTCAGAATTAAGTTGCTCTGAGTTCACTTGGATGCCTAGCAACAGCCAGGGGTCATTTCGTAGAAAAAGAGGTGCAGGAGCTAATTAGCGTAACTCATTAGCATAACTCATTAGCATAACTTATTTGCATAGGCCGCACCCCATGACCTCACCGGAAGTGTGTCAGAAGGCAACACCCACCGCT